CCCTCATGTGCGTCAGATTTTGCCCATGGGGAAACAGAGGTTGCCTGAGAAGCTCATTGGTCACATGGCTAGTGATGGCAGGAGCGGGGTTTGAAACCAGGTCTCTCGAGCCAAGGTCTAGGAGAGGCCAGGACTGGGGCGGCCGGGCTGGGCAGGGACACAGAAGGGAGGCTCTGGGAGAAGCCCACAGCTGCCACCTGGGAACTGGGAACTGGGGCCTCGTGGCTGGAGCCAGTGAATTAACGTGTGCATGCAACCGCTCTGAGCTGGCTCACAGCCCCTCTCCCCATCCAAGCTAAATATTAACAATCCCATCAGGCCCCAATAGTATCGCGGCTGTTGAGCTCACCACGGAACTGCCCCCAGAGCCACTGCCACTCGGATGCAGGTCAGGTACTGGGAAGAGGTGGGCAGGGCCTTCCGAGGCGGCTAGGCTGGGGGCTCCCGCTGGGCTAGGGGAAAAGAGGAAGTGAAGTATGCAGGGAGAAACCGAGGGACGTAGAGATACAGGGACAGACAACCTGGAAGAACTGGGGCAGGCCACTTTATAATCCAACCACGGACGACAAAGAGTCCAAGGAAATGATGTGTGGCCTTGGGTGGGAGCTGCAGAGCTGGAATCCTGGGATTTCCCTGCCTCTCGGTACACCTGCTAGTGGAAGCCTCGTGGGGTTGGGCCCCTGAGGAAGCTGGGAAGCTGGGACCAGGCCGGTTAAGAGAGCAAAGTTCTATTGGGGAGTCCCAGGAGCCCTCACCTGCACATACACAGCCAGTGCAGGCCCAGATTAGTGACTCAATAAATGAATGTTTAGGGGAGAGGTGAGCCCCGGACCCTATGCAGGAAGACAACCTGCCATCAACCAGGTGCCCTGTGCTGTCACCTCAGGACTTGAGTCACGCAGTTCCTCAGGCACAATTTCCTCCACTTACCCATCTGATTTCTGTTCACTCTTCCTAGCTCAGATGCCACCTCCCTGAAGCCTCCCAAGATCCCCCGGCCAAAGGATGCCTCCTTCTCCAAGTGCGTGGATGGACCTCGCTTCTGGCAGGACAAGCTCTGCCTTGTGTCCCATGTGTCTGAGTCTCCGCGTCACCCAGGGGCCACCTAACGGCAAGCCCCAAGTCTTGGGTTTCTCAGGGACCCTCTCTCAGGCCCTCCCAGGGCAGCCCCCATCAGCTCAAATGCCACCTTCACCAAGAAGCTGCTCCCTCCTGAAGCTGGTCTTTTGCTGGATCTCTCTGGTCACACAGGCTCCCCTCTCCCCTTCATACATCATAATCCGTAACTGGTTTATTTGTTCATTAGCTCTCTCCATCTCCCATCCATTCATCTGGACTAAAAACTCTGGGAAAGTTATAAGCACACGTGACTTGTGTCTTGTTCCTTTCTGTGCGCTCAGCACACATTTACTAGGTTAAAATGGCACACAGTGGACACTTAGTACATGCTTGTCCAAATACTGGCTCCCCCTCACCACGTCCTGAACTCACTAGATGCTACAGAAAGCCATAAGATTGAATCAGCTCAGTTTTCAAACCCCTGGCTGGGCTGTCAACTGACGAGGCCTTGTTAGCCACCACTGCCTTCTGGGGGACAATGTCTGCTCCCCACGAGGATGTCCTTGCTCTCCAACGCCAAGAAGACTTTATCCAGCTCTGTTTTCTGTGATTTGTATCCATAAAGCAATGGGATTGTCTTGTAAATTATATTTGGCCCATCGGTGGCTGTTATCCGAGCACATCCTCCCAGATTCTGCCCTTGTCCTCTCTAAGGACAGCTCCTCCTGAGGTGCATGGGGCTGGGGCTGGGCTTGTAGTCACCCCCAAGGCCTGGAGTCCCAGCTTGTTCACGCTAAGATGTGCTATCTCAGTGGACCTCTGGGCTGTGGTCCCAGGACAGAATCATCACAGCTGCTGGTTTAAAAATCCCGACTTTTGATTCCATCTCAGGACTAGACCTGGGGAGGAGGGTGAGTCAGACCCAGGCCAACTCGCCAGTGGTTCTGATCCACAGTAAGGCTGAGACTCTCCGAGCCGGAGGACGGGAAAGCACTGGGCCAGCCACTAGGATGTCAGTTGTTGCCTCCACTCCTCTGTGGCCTGGATGGTGGGGCCAGCGCCTGCTGGGTTTGGATGGAAGCCGCACCCTTTCTGGGTGGCTACCTGCAGGCCACGCAGCAGCTGGTGTGCTGTGGGGCTCTCTCAGCTCGCTCTGACTGGGCCCCATGTGTACCCAGCTGGGCGGGTGGCCTGGGCCTGGGCCTGGGTGACCTGTCAGGGAGGGAAGGTGTGGAGAGGAGCCAGGGCCAGGCACACCCTGAGCCAGCACCACCTGGATCCTCAGTACCTACAAGGGGAGGCTCTGACCCAGGAACCTGCCACTGACACACAACCTTTAAGATGCCTCAGGGCCCTTATAGCTTGGACAGGTCTGTTCCCTGATGACTCATGCTGAATGAAGAAAATACAGCAGAAGTGGTGAGATGTCACTTCAGAATCAGATTATGAAAAGATGGTGGCTTCTATCTCCGGTGTTCTGTCAGATTCTCTCTGGGTGAGTCTCTCCACATGTGTGTGGCTTGTGACAACCACGCAAAGGAGCCTGGAAGCCACCTTTCTGCAGTGGAGCCTTCAGTTGACATGGTAGCCTCAGCTGCCAGCGGCCTGCACCCTCAGGAGGGCCTCTGAGTTAGATGTTCCACCCCAGCCACACCCAGAACCCAGTCCTCAGAAGCTAGAAAGGTGTTGTTTTAAACTGCTCCATTGGGGTAACTTGTTACACAGCGGTAGATAACGAATACACCTCCTCACTGGAGCCTCTCGCCCAGTGAAAGCCCTGCCTACATCCTCCTGGAGCCCTTGACCACGTGGTAGGGTGACCACAGTCTCCCTAAAGAGCCGAACTGATTGGTATCTCCAGGCCTTTTTTCATATAGATCCCTTCTCCAGAAGCACTGGGACACCTACCCAACATATCCCCCTGCCCAGATTCAACGCCAGTGTCACCACCTTGGATAACCCTCATATTCTGTGCCTATCGTAGCCTGAGAGGTTCCTAGTAAAACAAGTCTAACACCTCACCCTTTTGTTCATTCATAGGTCTGACTCCCCCACGGGCTGTGAGCCCCAGAAGGCAACGCCACAGGTGGATTCTTCTCAGCATTACTTGACGCTCAGCACAAGGTCTTACACAGGTAGACACATTGAAAGTCTGATGAACAAACAGGCCATCAATGAGTGACTGGTTTCTGGTTTGCCTGTTTCTGTGTCCCCCCACTCTGCCTCACCACCGTCCAAGGCTATGTTCTTTCCAAGGATATAAAGCTGAATTTACAGGTTGGGGTTGTAGCTCAGTGGTGGAGTAGTTACCTAGCATGCATAAGGACCTAGCTTTGATTCTCAGCACCTCCAAAAACCAAAACTGAACAAAACAAAAGCAAGTAAACAACAACAACCACACATTTGTTATCTTTTCTAAGAAACCAGCCCTTTCTCCCAATTTTCTCCTTTCTTTTCCTAAATCACAACCTCCCTGAAAAGTGGAATCCTTTCTCTCCTTGATGCCTCCCCTCTCCCTCTCTGAGCTGTCCTCATATCCCTTCCATTTCATCAGCAAAACATTTCCCTCTCCCAGCACCGTGACACTTGATCCAGACTGCTGTCATCTCTGGAGACTCTGCCACTGCTTCCAGGAAGCCCACGGCCTCCTGTCTCCGATGCCCCCATTCACCCAAGAATCTTGAAAATGCTGCCTGCTCATCTCCAGGGCCTGGAGGGAGGAGCCACAGAGCTGAGTCACAGGTGAGGATCACCGTGCTCATCCCCCGCCTCACATTTCCGCTAGCACCCGGCCCTAACCTAGATTCCAATGGAAGCACAACAGGAAGAAGCAGAAGTGGCTTCAGATCCCTGTGCACACCCATCCTCACTGATCACACTGCGAGCACCTGCTCAGACAGAGCTGGAGATATCATCTCCTTCAGTGAGCATCACTAGATACTTCCTGTGGGCCAGAAACCTTACAGGCACTTTACACGCTTTAAGTGCCTGATTCCTCATACACCTTATGAAAGAGTTTTGCACTTGGTTAAGGTTGTGCAGCTAATAGCTAGCAGGATTGTGATTAGAAGCCACATCTTTTTGTTTACATGGCTTCCTTACCTGCCGGCCGTATTTCCTACTATGAGCCATTCCTAGGGAAGCACCAGAGCCGGTATACAACCTCCCCAGTCTTTCCCTCCTTCTGTCCCGATGATGCCAATATTGCTAAGAGTGCTTCCTCTACCTGCTTGGCTTCAGAAGGAGTCTCACACTGACCCAGGCTGGACATGTAGCAGTGAGTGAGAAATAATGTTTGCTTGTTTTGTCACTTCAGCTTAGCCTGGTCTATACTGACCAACACAGCAAAAGCTCAAACAATGTTAACTCTCTCACATCTAAATGTTATATATTATGATTTATTCATTTTCTTACATTGGAAATCACAGCATATTTTTTGGAACTGGGAACTGAAGCCAGCACCTTTGCACTGAGTTACATCACCAGCCCTTTTTGTATTTATTTTGAGATCGGATCTCTCTAAATTACTATGCTGTCCAGGTTAGGCTTGAATTTGCAATTCTCCTGACTCAGCCTCCCAGAATGCCAGGATTATGAGTGTGTGCCACATGTCTCTCTAGGAAACCATATTACTTTTGTAAATGAAGACAAATACCTACCATTTGTCATCACAAATAATTGCACAATTGGAAAAGAAAGATATTAGCCTCACACCAACCCAGGTCATCTGGTATACCTCCCACCCTAGGTGCTTTAAGTACTACCAAGGGCCTCCCCCGGAAGCCAAGCAATCTGCAGGTTGGGAAACCGCCTCAGTCTGTCTCAGGATTGGACCTGAGCCTCTCCCCTTGCCAGCCTGAGCCCCAGATGCCCGGCCCAAACCTCCCACCGATGCCAACCTCATGCATCTGCAGCGGCGCCTGCCCCGGGGTGGCCCTTACCTCGGCAGACAGTGCCATTCTCCACAGCCTCGAAGCCAGCTTTGCACATGCAGCGCCCGATGGGCACCAGCCACTCGCCGTCCCCATTACAGTACAGCTTGATGGGCACGTCCACTTCTTCGGCATTGGCGATGCAGCTGCCCCGGGCGGCCACAAGCGACGTGCTCTCAGCCCCTGACAGCGTCTCCTGGAAGATGGCACCATTCTGGATGACACGGGGACACTTGCGATAGAAGACGCGCACAGCAATGAGGGACATGCAGCCGCCATAGTCCTGGAAGGCCAGGTAGAAGCCGCTGCGGGACACGGGCCCGAAGCTCCGCACTTCGGTGTTGATCTTCATGACGCGGCCACCCAGGTCTACTTGAGAGAAGCTCTCATCGGCTGCGATGGTGTCCACTTTCACCCATGGGTTCTCCATCCAGTTGGGGAAGGTCTTGGTGGCTAAGTCAAAGTCAGACTCATAGTAATAGAGGTTGAAGGTCTCCTTGCAGGAGCCGGGCACGCTGGGGATGCTGCTGCAGTCTCGCACCGAGAACTTCATCTCCACGTGGATGCGGTGGGCCCCGCGGCGCCGGATAAACTTGGTCCGTAACCAGTTGTTCTGGCTCGACTCAAACACGTTGCACACCTGGTACGTGCGGATTGTGTTCATGTTCTCATCATAGCCGCTCACCTCTTCCCACTGTGGGGGAAACGCCAATCAGGTTGGAGAGGTAGGGGCTCAGCCCCAGGAAACACCCTGTCTCATGGGAGACACAGACTGCTTCTGCGACCCTCTAGTCTGATGACGGAGACATGACAGAATCTCCAATCTGATGGGAGAGACACGACCTTGATTCCAAGGAATCCCCACCTGTGAAAGTGGTATACTACCAAGCCGACGGGAAGGGCACACACCCGGCTCTTGGAATTCCCCTGGCAGATGAGGGAGACGAGGCTCCCACAGCCAGGGGTTCACTAATCTGATAAAGGAGACACAGGCTCTGAGTTCAGGAAGTTCCCACCTGCAAGGGGAAATGGGAGGGCCCTGACCTAGGGAGCTCCTGCTCAGGACGGTAGATGGCTCTGGGCTCGGGGGCTGCCAGTCCGACAGACTTTCTGTCCTCTAGGAGCTCCCTGTCTGATCTGGAGGTGTAGTCTTTGGCCTTGGGGACTCTGAAAAGATAAAGGAAGACAGTTCTCACTCCACTGACCTCCTAGTATGACAGGAAAGACAGGGCATTTCTCTGGGGCTTCCAGCTGCTAAGATTCCTCAGAGGCTGGCTGATCTCTAGTTCACAGAGGGAGCCTGCCTGCCTTTCCTGCTTGCTAGAGAAGAAGCTCCAGTACCCAGGGGATCCCAGCCTAAATATCAAAAACTTGACTGAGGACCATGGAGCCTCTGTGCTGCAGAGGGCTGTGCACTTGACAGGAAGTCGGGAAGGGCACAGTACCCATGTCCCTGCACACAGACTCACAGACCCAGCTCATACCCCTGGCTGAGCCTTTGGTTAATTATGTACCCTCACCAAGCACTTTTTCTTGCTTGGTTTTATTTTATACAGTGCTTAGAACAGAATTCAGGGCCGTATGCATGTTAAGCAAGTACTACATCACTAAGCCACTCTGCACCCTAACTCTCCGCAGCAGGCCATCCCCTGGCTGCTTGGTCTGAGTCCTCCAGTTCTCCCCCAGGCCTCTGGGGTAATCCCCGGGCAACGGCTTTGCACATTCGCCCCTTGGTCTGGTCTCCCCAGTGGGCCAGAGAGTTTGCTAAGGGGAGCTGCCCACCCTCTCCTGTCAGGTCCCTCTTGGTGTTGAGTTGGCTTCACCTGGATAGATAGAAAAGGGCCCCAACAGCAGAGCCTCCCCGCTCATGATGATCCTGGGCTAGGTACTCTCATAGCGTCATTTCTTTGTCATGATGTGCACACAAGGCATCATTGCCCTCGCCGTTCAGCAGAAGGAGTAAAAGAGGACAGGTGAGGTCACCTGACTGATCCAGGTCATGTGAGATGAGACCCAGCCATGCACTTGCCTGTGCTGTCTCAGAACACAGCACTGCTAAGTACCCTGGTGCAGAACCTCGGGTCAGCCCCTCAGCCTCTCTGGGCCACTATCTCCCCAGTTGCCAAGTGGGACTATGAGACTGGCAGGTGTTAGGAGAGAGGTGTCACCCTCCAGTGGATGTTCTTTGTGCCTTTGCCACTTCGATTCTCTAGGCCAAGTGTACCCAGGGAATGGTCAGATGCTACAGGGGTGAGTGTGGGAGGAGAGGTTAAGCTGGGGCTTGCTAGCCCAGCCTCTCCTGCAGTGGCCACTCTGAAGCTCCCTACTTTGTATTTAATTTTTTTTTTTTTTTTTGGTGGCACCATGTGACAAAGTCAGCCCCTTGTTACAACCGCTGCTCTTCTTCAGAACTTAATTAGAGCACTTAATTAGAGCACTCTGCCTTTCTCCCCTCTCTCTAATTAACATGCGGAGGCCCTGCAGCCCAAACACCCCAAATAATTGCGTCCGGGGGCCCTGCAGCCCAGCCTGGCCTCATTACTGGCAGGGTGGGGCTGTGAGCCCAGCCGCCTTCGCAGATGGAAAATTGGTGACAAGAAAGAGCCACAGAAAGAGGCCTGACCCTGAGGCCCTGCCTATTGAGTGCACAGGCCTGGGGGGGGTGCAGCTCCCAGGGGCTGCAGCTGAGTCTCAGGGGAGGAGCCGAGGTAGGGGGAAGGGAGGAATAGGTCGTGGAGTTCAGAGCCTTCCCCAGAGACTGGGAGGACTAAAATCGATGACAATGATGATGATCATCATCATCATCCTAGCTATTCTCTATTGAAGGTCAACCTTAGATACTTTGCAAGAAAACCTCATGATGGCCCTTTGAGGAAGTCATCTTTATCATCATTTCATAGACAAGAAAATCAAAGCTCAGAAAGATTAAGGAACTGGCTCCAAACCACACAGCTCATGGGTAGCGCGAGCATTTTTGGAAACTTTGACCTCACATCCTCTCTGCAAGTGCTCGGGAGAAAGGAGTTAGCCCAGATGTGGGCTCAGATGACCCAAACAAAGAAGTACAATGATAAGAACCATGAAAGGGGACTTGTGTTATGGAGACCCAGAAAAGAGGAGGAGAGGACTCAGTCACAATCCTGGATACAAACTTGAGCCCCAGCTGGGGTGCATTTCAAGGGGAGAGTGTGTGTTCAGGATGCATCCCAGCACCAAAAAGAAGGAAAAAAAAATTCACCTGAACCACAAAAACAAAAAACAAAGCTGGGCCCCTTTACTTACTAGCTGTAGGGCCCTGGGCAGGTAGCTAAGCCTCCCTGTGCTTCAGGTTCCTCATCAGTAAAGGAGGTTATTCCTCCCTGTGGTGCACCTGGAGATGATGCATACCAAGGTGTCTGACATAGAATGCATACTCAGGAAGTGACAGTTCAGCTTCCTCATCTGAAATGGAAGCTAAGCAAGTGCCTACTTCCCGGCCTTGCATTGAGGATTCCATGGGATAAAGGATAAAGGCATCCAGCAGGTTGCCATGGTAACGGGTGCTCCATCAATGATAGGGGATTGGGAGGTGGGACTCTGGACCCTGAAGAGAAGAAAGGGACTGGAGTGCGAGGGGCCTTCAGGCCTTGCAACAAATGTTGAGGCATCCTGGGGGCCAAGTGGGGTTTGGGGACCACAACTCACCCCTGATGGGGGATGCACCATCCAGCCCAGCTCAGCCGTCGCGGTAGTGGAGTCCATCAGTGTTTCTGTGGGGAGAGCAAAGAATCACCACTTTGCCTTCTCAGTGCTGTCAGTCACTCTGCCCTGACCTTAAGATCCTGCCCATTAAGTTCCTTCCCTTAGAGACCCCCGCCTACCTCCACTGCTCCACTCACCCAACTCTAATCCTCCAGGCCACGCTCCCTTTGGAACCTGCCTCTCCATTCCATAATCCCACCCACCCGTATAGCCCAGCCAATCATCTTACTCTACTTCTCAAGGTTCCGATCTTCTAGTCCCAATTCCAGGATCTCTATCCATCTACGGTCAGCAGCACCCGCCCTCCCTGCCACCAGCAATCACATCTCACAGTCTCTCCTTTCCGAGTAGAGAAGGTTCTTAACCTGGCTGCAGGTCAAGAGCCTGAATGGGATCCTAAGGATCTATCACCAAACATTGAACTCGTACCTTAAATTCTGGGTACCTGTTCACTTTTCAGTTTGTGTCAAATTCTCAAAAACTGGAACCTGAGCCTTAGAAGAGTCTCTCTTCCGTCTGGCGCTCTGCCTTGCCTTTCTGACCTCACATTCTGTAACCATCCCCCTTTCTTCTATCGCCTCCCATCTCCATCCCTGAGAGGAAAAGGAGCCAGTTGTCACTGGCTGCAAGAGATTCAGATCAGCTTCTGGACCAATAGCTGGAGGGAAGGAGACACACAGGCCCTAGAGATGCCCGACTCACCCCAGGTCAGGCTCGGGACCCCTCCCTGCTACCATTCCTCTGCCAAAAGGGCTTCAAAATACATTTTTGAAATGAATTGTGCAATGCACTGAACAGATTTAAATAGATCCCTTTCAAGCATTTGCTCAACAAATAGATCCTGATATCCATTATGTACTAGGCAATGTGCTGGGTACCTGAGCAGGAAAAAAGCCAATGGCAGAACCCTGATTCACATTTGTGGGAGTGGAGATGATGTGGGAATAGAAATGGCTATGAAAAAGTGAAGGCAGAGAAACCTGAAAGGTCACAGGGGATCTTTCATGCCATCTAGCTCAGTGAGACTAGATAGGAATAGCTTAGAGCACTGTTCTAATTCTATACCTGGTGCAGACATCACTAATCAATCCCCACATGCTGTGGCCACACAGAGCTTCTCACCACGGCTCCCCAGGAAACCAACACTGACCACTTGAGCTGTGGTCCAATGGCCTCATTCTGCAGACAGAGTAGCTGGCACACAAGGAGGTGGGGGGAGACCTTCAAAAGGTCACATGCAGTTGTGGCAGAACGGAAGTACAGGTGTCTTGCTACCCTACACATTTCTAGATTATTGAAATGAGTTTGATGGTCCAGGCTGGACACGTCAGGGCCAGAAGACCGGGGCAGTGTGCCCAGGCTGCTGAGAAAATCCAGATGGGAGGTAATGAGGGGGTGACCCATGCCAGGGCGATAGGAATGGAAGGCAGGGAGAAAAATAGCATTTGGCTAGAGATGACCCCAGTTAGACCCCTGATCTGACAAGAGAGGATGCAGAAGCGTCCCCTTGACCGCCTGAGGCTCGTGTTTGTGGTCACTGTGTCCCTTTACCCTGGGGGCTGGTGCAGGGAGGGGGGCAGCCAGGGGACGCCAGGGACGGTGGAGCTGGTGCCAAGGGCATCTTTTTGATGGCAAATTGGAGGGAAGTTCTATTGTGCAGCTTTGGAGCTGAAGAAAGGGCTGCTTTTCACACTCTGAAGGCTACAGATTTTTCTTCCTGGAGAGAACAAGGGCTGAACTTTTCACCTGTTCTCTCTCATCGGCCTCAGCCCGAGACGCGCCAAGCCGGGCTCTCTGCCTGGGCCTGAGGAACAGCTGCTGGGAGTTGTGCAGACAAGGGAAAGGAGAGACCGCCCAGGACCAAAAGGGGTCGGGTGGGGGCGCCAAGCCCGCCAAGCAGGTGGCCCCACCCCTTGGCCGGATTCCTGGGCTGACCCAGAGGACAAGTGCTGGACGGTTCCGTAGTCCAAAGAAGGAGGGGCCTGGCACCGATGTCCTCATTGTACAGATGGAAACTCAGGCCCAGGAAGGGCAAGTGATTTGCCAGAGGCAGGAGGATCACAAGTTCAAGCCCGGCCTGGGCAATTTAACAACTTAGTAAGAGCTTATCTCGAAGCATGCGAAGGTCTGGGGAGGTGGCTCAGCGTGAGGGGTCTGGGCTCAAACCTCAGTACTGCAAAAGGTGGGGATGGGGGGCTCAAACGCAGGCTTCTCAAAAGGCCAGGCAGGAGGGTACACTGGACCCCTTTCCTGCTACCACAGAATATGCCAGGTGGAAACTGGCACGGACTGGAAGTCACCAGCTACCTGGTTCACCCGCAGGACAGAACTAAGAGGAAAAGTGACCTTTGCAGGTCCTCCTCCGGTTCCTCCTCGCCAGGCCAGGCCTAGGCTGGGCTGAGAGCCTGGCTCTGCAGAAGCTGAGCACGAGCTGCTTTTCCTCCAAACTCTCCTTGGCACCTTTTTTCTTCACTTGTGGTACTGCAGACTGAACCTAAGGAGTCCTGAGTGGCATCCCAGCTCTTTTTAAAGATTTAAATTCAATTTTTAATTTTTTTCAGTACTGGGAATTGAACTTAAGGTCTCACACATGCTAGGCAAGCGCCCTATCACTGAACTACTCCCCCAGCCCTTTTTGTTTTAATTTTTGAGACAAGGCCTTATAAAGTTGCCCAGGCTGGCTGGAGCTTACTGTCTTCCTGCCTCAGCTTCCTGAGCAGCTGGGGTTACAGCATGCCCCACAGCACCCAGCTCCTTGGCCCTTTGCTCCCGCACCAGAGACCTGGATTCTCTCACTTACATGTCTTGTAACCTTGGGCTTTTTAAAATTTCCAGTGCTGGGGACAGAACCCAGCGCCTCCTGCATCTCGGACAAGAGGTCTGCCGCGGAGCTACACCTCTAGTCTCAACCGTGGCCCTTTCTAAGCCTCAGTTTCCCCGCCTGGATCATGGCCAGAATACCTCCTCAGTGTGGCTGTGCAGGCTAACGGGGAGGAGAGTACCAGCACAGATCTTCAGTAAGTAACAGCTATTATTTTATGGGGGTCCAGGAGGTTCCAGGTTAGCCTGGCTGGCTCCCCGTAGCCCCCAGACCACACTTGCCAACATCTGACGAACATCACCTTCTCACTGGACGGTCACAGCCTCTGGAGCCCCTCCTGCTCACATGATGCCACTTTGCTGAGAGGCCCCGCATTTCCTCTTTGTTCCTCTCAAATCAAGCACAAAAGTCCCTGTTCCCGGGAGAATTTGGTGTCGGTAGTTTTTGCTTCAGGAACCTGTGTGGGTTCAGGAAGCCAAGTCCTACCTTTATCGTCAGCTCTTCCATGTCCACATCAACCCCAGACATTCCCCTTCTAATCCCCAAATTTACAAAGGTTGAGAGCTTGTACCCACTGAGACCCTTGAACACTCATGCCAATATCCAAGTATCACCATGCCAGGAGGTACTTGATACACTCCCATTTCACAGATGGGAAAACAGAGGCCTGCAAAAGCCCAGGAATTGCTCAAGGTCACCCAGCTGTTCCATTACCAAGTTGCTCTCCCATGCACAGACCATGCAGCACTCTCACACCCACACCTCACATATACTGCTCCTTCTCACCCTCTCCCCTCCATGCTCCCTTTGACCGCCCCTATGCTCCTCATCTGTGAAGTCCCAGCTCAGGTCACATCTACCAGGAAGTCCTCCAGCACCCACCTCCCCCACAGCTCTGCAGCCACTGGTGTTCCAAGGGGCCCCAGAACTTGCAGGTATCCTTGGCGGGGACTGTTCTTGTTTCCTCTTCCCATGGTCGGTGCGTCCCTGAAGGGTAGGTACTGGGGTGCCCAAGACCCCGTCCCCACCCACGGGCTTGAACACCCCTACAGTCCTGCTCCATCAGGGCAGCCAGGCTGGATGGCCTTGGCCATCCCACTCACATCTGCACTATCATTTAGTTACTATTTTTTTTCCCACTGACTCTTTTTTTTTCTTAAGTGCATTTTAAAGAGAAAAAAAAGGAAGCATTATTATAAATGGAAAACCAATATCACTTGACATAAAAAGAAGGAAAACAAACATGAGACTATTACAATTAAAAACATTCATCTGCATACTACCTGACATCGTTCTGCTTCCCACGCTTTGGGGGCCACTGAGCTCCACTGAGCTGCCTCCGAAGGGCTGGAAATGTCCCCATCCCCATTCCCACTGTGACAATGACAGTCCCTCACACGGGAAGCTGCTGTCACTGTACACAGATAATTAATCACCCTCCGGATGTGACAAAGATTACAATGGGGCCGTGTGGAGCGTACGGTGGGGAATGTGCGACAGGACGGGGAGATGGATGCTGCATGTCGGGACGGCTTCCTGGAGGAAGTGACTCTGGGCTGGAGGCTGGAAGAGTGGGTGCTGCTGGCAGGCAGAGGGCACGGGAGGGCACGGGTGAGGAGCCAGTGGGAGTGTGACTCGTGGGAATTAGGATGGGCGAAGGGTGCAGCAAGCAGCGGTGAGAGCTGCGAGCTGAGCCGGGGGGTTGTGGAGCCCCGTTTCTGTTCAGGGGCAGTGACACCCTGAAGCGCCAAGTGCCCATTTCAAAAAAACAAACCCAATGGACAGATGAAGAAAGTGAGGCCACACAGATTTGCAGCATCCAGGCAGAAGCTAGAACCAGAGTCCTCAGTCCAGAGCCCCTTCCTCAGGGGATTGGGCTTCCTCAGGATTTGGGGCTGGAAGCAGCTCCGGCCGTAGCACCACAGTGCCCAAAACCCTCTCCCTCCTGGAGACTGCACAGAAGAAAGCAATCAGGAGGCCCTGATTGCACAGGCTGGGAGGCCCCGTCAGCCTCCAGCTACGTGTGAATGAGAAGTGTACATTTCAGAAATATTTGAGCTAAAAGGAGAGACACACTGAAGTCGTTAGCGTTAGGCCCACAGGAGGTGGCTTCGTGGGGCCCCGGCTCTCAGGCTGGGGTGGATGGTTGTCCTTGCTCCCTAGGCCACCCCGGCCAGCTCTGTCCAG